ACATAACTCCTCCCTTTGTTTGTCTCAGCATTGGATGTCTCAAGTCTAAACACCCAATCAGGATAGTCTTCAAACATTTGTCACCATCCCACAAGATGTTCTAAATTCACTACAGCAGTGGAGAGACAGATCAAATGTTCTCAGAGGCATCCTCTTCAATCCCTCCTCACCATTGCTCGCAATAATGCCAGGTGCAGCCAATAGTGGATGGGGAGTCCATTTAAGTTGGTTTACACTCTGGGGTCACTGGGCTTTTCAAGAAAAGAGCTTGCATGTAAATGTTTGGAATTAAGCCATTCATTTGGCCCGCAGATCTTTACTTCCTCATACAAAAGGGAAGGTTGTTCAGGTAGCAGTGGACAATACAACAACTATGTATTATGTGAACAAACATGGGGGTCCTCGTTCTTTTCATGTATGTGCCAAAACCGTAAGATTATGGAACTGGTGCATTCTTCATGAGATCTATCCAGTGGCCGGGGGAGAGAAACATGCTCACAGGTTGTCTCAGTAGGGACTGTTCTCAGATGCACAAGTGGTCCCTGAAGGATCAAGTAGCACAAGATCTCTCCAGTTGGGGTCAGCCCAGTGTAGACCTGTTTGCTGTAAGGTTCAACAAAAAGCCTCTCTTCTCTTCAAGAACGGGCAGGGACAGTCAGTCCATCTCAGACACCTTGCTTTTGCACTGGGGAAGGGACTGTATGTATGCTTCCTCCCCTTTTCCATTAATTCGGAAAGTGATTTAAAAGATTAGTTAGGACAAGGCAAAAATGATATTGATTACCCGAGTTGGGCTGAGATAGCAGAAGTATATGGACCTGCTTCAGCTATCAAATGGTTTTTACATGCATCTTCCTCTGTCTCCAAATCTCTTGTCACAGCAACAAAGAAGCATTCTTTATCCAGATCATCAGTCTCTTCAGCTGACTGCTTGGGCTATTGGACTTTGACTAGTCTTAAACACTCATGTTCCTTACTGGTACAGAATATACTGCTGACTTATAGAAAACCATCTACTAAAAAGTGTTTCTATTTAAAATGGTCTAGATTTGGTTCTTGGATTTACTAGGTTCCCCCCCCCGAAACCTCATGCTAAAAAGGGGAGTCTGTGTTACATGCTTTAGTTGCTAGAAGGGTTCTTATATATTATTTAAATAGAACTCAATGTTTTAGGAGGTCATGTGGATTGTTTCTTATGCTAAGAAAAATAGGGGTCAGTGGGCGTGTCTGCTCAGATTATTTCCAGGTGGTTTAAACAAAACAGAAATTCCTGTGTGTTGTGTTTTATGGTGTCATTCTACTAGAACTGTAGTAGCATCTTTCACTTGCCTTAAATATGTTCCTATTAGGAAAATATGCAAAGCTGCTACTTGGAAGTGAGAGCTCACATTCACTAAATGTTATACACTGGACCTAGCTTCACGAGTGGATGCCACATTTGGCAGAGCGGTGCTTCAATCGTTATTTAATTAGCACTCTGTTCCAACCTCCTGGGTTTTCAGCACAGCTTGTCAAACTAGCTATAAGTGGAAATATGCAGAGCCACCTGAAGAACCGAATAAGATTGGTTATTGTAACTGGAGTTGTTCTTCAAAATGTCTCTGCATATTCCCACTTCCCACCCACCTTACCCTCTCTCTCAAAGTCCTATTATGATCTCTCTGGGTTAGCACTGGAAGGAACTGAAGCAGTAGAGAGTGCAGCACCCCATTATATAGCCTCATCCTCTGAATGTCTGGAAACGCTGAGGGGAGGATTAGGAGGGTGCTGCTTGGAGAAGGTTCTATTGTTTGGCAGTGCAATACCCTTAAGCGTGAATATACAGTCATCTTGAAGAATTCTGGTTACAAATAAGCAACCTTAATTTATTATTATCCAGCTCCTTTTCCTGAACTATTTTATGGAGCAATAAAACCCATTGAATTGTACCTTTTCTCTTTAGCCTCTATCCATGAATGTCAAAGCTAGTCTGTCAACTCATGTTCTGGATATTTCTGAGGCAGAATGAGGGGAAGCCTCAGTTGAGGAAATATGTAAAATCACTTGTAACAGGGCTTGGAAGGCCGGGCGGCCTGGAGTCTAAATGGAATCTAAATCCACTGTCCTGGGCTACTTCCTGCCAGTGTCTCTTCAGTTTGGGGCATGGCCCCTCTAGTCCGGTTCACTGGGTGGCTCGCCTCCCATAGCGCCACTTGTGGATGTTGGACTGTGCCCTGCTGAGATCCCAGGCTCCTTCGGGTGGGGCAGCTGCAAGTTAGTGAGGCCGAGCCCCACAATGTCTCTGGGCTTCGCTCAGTTACCTCAGGTGCCAGAGGTTCCTAGGTCTCCACTGCAGTCTCCCTTGGCTGGAGAGACAGTGCTTACGCCCAGGTGGCTGCCTTGATTGGCTGGCTCCTACCTCTTCACCAGTCAGCCCCAAACTGAGCCAGGTTCTTTCCTTTTCTCCCCGCTCCAGGCCTGGAATTGGCTGCAGGTATACCGGGACAGGGCTAGCTGGGCACAAAGGTTCTCTTTAATCCCTGGTGTGCTGGCAGGCAGATTCTCTGCTTCATCACATGATTCTTAATCATTTATTTCCCAGGTATTAGTAGTTGAAATATTATTGATGCTTGTGGATGTGGCATTTGGTCATCTTGTTCTTTAGAGCAGTGGTTCTCAATCAGGGGCATATGTACCCCTAAGGATACGCAGGTTCTTCCCGTGGGTATAGCATCTAGATCAGTGGTTCTCAACCAGGGGTCCGGGCAGGTTTCAGGGGGTCCTCCAAGCAGGGTCAGCATTAGACTAGTTGGGGCCCAGGGCAGAAAGCCGAAGGCCCCCCCCCCCCCCCCGGTTGGGCTGAAGCCCAGGGCCCTGACTCCTGTCTCTTGGGGCTGAAGCCAAAGCCTGAGCAACTTAACTTGCTACCTGCTAACTTTGGCTCTGGCTTTTATATGCAGAAAACCAGTTGTTGTGGCACAGGTGGGCCGTGGAGTTTTTATATCATGTTGGGGGGGCCTCAGAAAGAAAAAGATTGAGAACTCCGATCTAGATATCTGCCTAGTTTTTTACAATAGGCTACATTAAAAGCACTAGTGAAGTCAGTACAAACTAAAATTTAATACAGACAATGACTTGTTTATACTGCTCTATATACTATACACTGAAATGTAAGTACAATATTTATATTCCAATTGATTTATTTTATAATTCTATGGTAAAAATAAGAAAGTAAGCTATTTATCGGTAATACTGTGCTGTGACACTTGTATCTTTTTGTCTGGTTTTGTAAGCAAGTAGTTTTTAAATGAGGTGAAAGTTGGGAGTATGCAAGACAAATCAGACTCCCGAAAGGGGTACAGTAGTCTGGAAAGGTTGAGAGCCCCTGCTTTGGAGAACACACTTATATTGTGAGGAAAAGACTCTTGGTGCCATCCAGAGCTCACCAGTTTGAGTTCTCAGGCCTTGTTACAACTTTCCCACAAAGTGGCAGATGCCACTAATACACTGGCTTTTGGGCATGTCACACCAGCTCAGCAGGCTATTTACAATTTGCACTGTACTTATAGACTAAAGAAATATAGATGCTCAGAATCCAAAGGCCGTCAGATGATAGTAGTTTTAAAGCATGTACCGTTTTGTACCTCAAGTTCAAAGAGTCCTATGAAAGTTGAAATGCGAGCCTTAACTTGTGTAACAGCAAAACAAAAATACAGAGCCTGGAAAAACAAAGCACAAATACGAGTTAAAAGCAGAGTATCCGCTCCAGCGTCATGATCCTGCCAATTCAACGGGGATCCGCTATGTTGACCCCTTTGCCAGATGACAGCAGGAGTTTTGAAGGTTTGTGTCAACCATATTTGAACGGAGATTATAGAAATTAATAAAATATTCAGGAAAATGTTACCTAGGAGATTAGAAAGATATTCTGGTAAATATATATTTATATGCACGGGGACATAAATTTAGATCCTTTTAACAAACCCACAGATTTTTAAAAGTACCTTGTTGCATGGATGAATGCCTCTAAGTCATTACATTTTACCAGGTAAAGCAAATAAGTAGTAGAGAGAAATATTAATTGCCAGAAATATTATTTGAGAGACTGAGTTACTCTGAGTTGTATTGTGTATTGGTATTCTGACAATTTTTAAGTTTTGTTAAAAAATTATTTTTAAAAGACAGCACACTGAGTATATAAAATAGCCATTTATGCCTTAAACTACACTGTTACATTAGAAAATACATCACCAAAATGATTAATTTTTGTGTTTAAAAAACATACATACATACAAGAGAAAAATACTTAAATTTTGGCACGACATGGACTAAACATGGTTTGTTTAAAGAAATGGATTTCTCCGTGCTGTGATCTATTATCTATGTTCTTCTAAAATGCATGGATTAGTGGATAGCCAGATTGTTGAATACTTTGTCCTGCAAAGCCTGTGTACTGATAAACTTAACAATGATGATAAAGTATTGTAGAGTAGTGGAAACTAATTTTTCAACATTTTTAGCCTCTTTAAAACAGCTATCTAGGTTTTTATAATTGTGCTTTTCACTAGAATATCTGTGCGTCTAGATAATAAAAATGCTACTTTAGATTTAATAAAGCCTCAATATATCCCGCAAACTTCAGTCTTGCTCCAGTATGAAAGTGAGAAGGAATAATGCATCACATGTGGGAGGTGCTTTAGAAATGTCAGACATGATTATATTTCAGATTCGCAAAGATGTGATGCTGGTAAGGCAAGTGTACCATCCTACCAACAAAATGTCAGCACATCTTCCTCAAATGGTAATGCTAAGGACTTTCTGGCTTAGCAGAGATCTATTGATTTTTTGAGCTAATTTTTCCACTATTTCCTAGATCAATTCTTTCTAAATCAAACATTAAAAAAAATTAATTTCTATAGAAATGAGTCTAAAAATCTTTGAATCTGGCTGTTACTTTGAAAGAACTCACTTTTTCCTTAGAATTCTCAGTTGATCATAAAGACAGTGAGAAGAAACTTTGATATTTATTAATATGTTTATTTTAAAGATCGTTTCCTTAATGTAACAAATATAAAAAGTTATCAGTGTTTTACAAATTGTCAAAAATGTCCAAAGTACAAAAAAGATATGATACACTAGTTAAATGGAAATGATTGTACAATCTGGCACTGAAGTACTTAATACTGTGGGCATGCACACTGTACACCAGAAAAGCGCATGCATTATTTGCACAAATAAGGAAATAAGACATGATTACTGCATTATCTGATTACAAATTCATTGCTTCTGTCAATTTTCTTTCTTCAGGGATACCATTTACCTGTAAATAAATAAGAAAATATATAATCCATTAATGGTTACAGCTCCTCTTAGAATACAGAACTATATTGTCACCATTATAAATAGGAATTGCGTATCCTTTCCCTAAGCCTCAAGAACTCAAAGTATGCATTAGAACTGTCAGCAACTCAAGCCTATGGCCACCCAACTGTCCATGTTTGATGTAAAGTATGACAACTTCAGACTTTTTTTTTTTCCAGATTCTTCCAAACCTGAATCCAAATCCAAATATGTCTCCCTGTTTAGAATTCCGGTATTTAGACAGGCCTGTCTACGCTTTTAGCTTGTTTGGACTAAGCAAGTATGGTAGATGTGAATAACAACTCTTTTTTTGATGTAAGGATGACCACGCTATCTGAAATCCACTCACTTTGAAGATACTTTCCATCTCCTAAACCAAATAATTTTTGGGTAGAGGGGTAGGGGAAGAATCAATGTGACTGTGAATCTATCCCTCTAGAATCATAGGACTGGAAGGCACCTCTAGAGGTCATCTAGTCCAATCCCCTGCACTCATGGCAGGACTAAATATTATCTAGACCATCCCTGACAGGTGTCTGTCTAACTTGTTTTTAACCATCTCCAATGATGGAGATTCCACAACCTCCCTATGCAATTTATTCCAGTGCTTAACCACCCTGACAGGAAGTTTTTCCTAATGTCTAACCTAAACCTCCCTTGCTGCCATTTAAGCCCATTGCTTTTTTGTCCTATCCTCAGAGGTTAAGAAGAACAATTTTTCTCCCTCCTCCTCCTCTTTTCCAGACTAAACAAACCCAATTTTTTCAATCGTCCCTCACAGGTCATGCTTTCTAGACCTTTAATCATTTTTGTTGCTCTTCTCCGGACTTTTTGTCCACAACTTTCCTGAAATGTGGTGCTCAGAACTGGACACAATACTCCAGCTGAGGCCTAATTAGCATGGAGTAGAGTGGAAGAATGACTTCTCATGTCTTGCTTACTACTCCTGCTTAGGTAGGATGGGGAAGGGGGGATGGGAAGCCTGTTCATGGCCCTGTCCTGGGGCACAGAGGCTGGTCCTTACCAGTACTGAAATGGGCCCCTGGCAGACTGGCCTGGTAGGGAGCTGTGGTGCGCTGGAGGGGGAAGAGCTGTGCCTCTGCTGCTGAGGTAGGGGGTGTATTTCATGTGCTCTGGGCTGTGATGGCAACTCCCTCCCAGGGTCCCGGGAAGTGTGGCAAGGGGCAGGGGGCAGAGAAGCAAAGACCCTAAATCCCTTCCTCCCAAGAAGCCTCAAGCTAGCAGGGAGGGATAAGAAGCAGGGTAGGGGAGGCAGGGGCACTCTAAAAGTCTGATTCTCCTGGGTTTCTTTGTGTGGTTTTTAACTCTCAAACTCTTGAAAGCTAATAGGTACTGAAATCACTTGTATGTATGCCTGTGTCCCCCATATGTATGTGTATTATTGAAATATCACTAAAAATACCTTCCACTTTTCAATGCAATATAATGTATGAAGATTTTAATTTTTTTTAAATGTAGGCTTGCCCAAGGACAAAAATACAGTGCTCAGTGAAGTTTGTTGCTCACTGAGAACAAAGAAAATTTAGAGGGAATGTTGGTCCCTATGCTGAAGAACCTACCCAAAGCCCCTTTTTACAAATTGTATAGAAAATGGGGGTATTTAATCTCTGAGGCACCTCTAACTGCTACAAAGAACATTTTTGTACAGTTCATTTTTGTTTATATAAACTGGCTACCTCTCAGACAATGCAACAACCTGAAACTTAGTATAAAGTGAGCTGAGCTCACTGTTATAGGAAAAGTAATATCTTTTAGTGGACCAACTTCTGTTGGTGAGAGAGAGAAGATTTTGAGCTACATACAGCTCCTCTTCACATCTGACACGAAGAAGAGCCCTGTGTAGCTGGAGAGCCTGTTGGTGAAAGAGACAAAAGTTGGTCCAATAAAAGATATTACCACATCCACCTCGTGTCTCTAATATCTTGGGATCAACATGGCTATGACAATGCAAAGTTATGGAAAATACATTTTTGAAAGGATTTTTACACTTTTTCTAGAACATTCTCTATTTACTGTTGGGTACAGATGGGGTAGTTTTACTAAAATAGTGTATTACAGAAAACAAGATAAAGGTGTAGGATTAACCATACGGAGGGTTGTAAAATGTATTTTTATATAATTTTTTGTTATGGGGTAGGGGGCAAATGTGCTGCTTTGTATTTCATGCCTTTGTTTGCATTGAGCATGTATTTAAAGTTCTGGGCATCCCTTTTTTTTTTTTTGCGGCACTGCAGGGTCGACTGAAATCCCAATGGGAAAAAGACATGAGCCCAGAAATCTAACCTATGCCACCTGGCAACAATCCCTAAGGGACCATACAAAAGCTGGGGATAGCTGAAGTGCACTGAGCTCTGCCCTTCTCCCCAATGTGGCCTCTATGTTGGGGCTGGATGGAGGATGTGGCAGAGGAGCTAGGTACATGAGCTGACAGTTCTTCCACAATAGGAAAACTTATAGCTAGCCTGATGTGGCTATTTCCCTAAAAGGGGCAGGATGGAACACACCAGAACATCTGGCCCAAATAGACAGTCATGTGAGAGCTAACTTTGGAGACGTCAGAACAAGCACTTCTTATTTGGGGGAAAGGGAAGGAAGGGACATATAACAGCTTGTCAACAACCTCGAACCTGAATTGCAAAATGAAACACTTTTCTGATCAGATAAGCTAGAAGACATGATGGCAGATTACATTCCCATTGTATTGTCCCCTTCTGCTGCTAAACCTCTTTTGTTTCCCCTCAAATGAGCAAAAACTGGGATTTTCACCACCATTCATATTTACTAACAATTTACTAATATTTCACAGAAATTTTACCCTCAATTGCTAGAGATCTAAATTATGTGGCAGAAGTTGCCAAGTAGAGTGCTTTCAGCGTTGAGGTGCAGAGGACATGGATGCTTCAGGTAGTCCGGTTTCTCCTTGAACACTGACATCCCCAGTGAGAATAGCAACTTCAGTAACTATTTCTATTCCTTCTATTTGCTGTGCCCAGCACTTTCATAATTCCAAAACATTTTATGGAAAGAATACCTGCCACTACATTTCAGTGAAATGGCAACACTGTATTGTTTCTAGTAAAAAATATTGAAGAAGGGGGACACATCATTTTCAAATGCTCTGCAAGTTTTTTCTGTCTAGAACTATGCACTTCAATCTGACCTTGTCTAAAACTTGGTTTCTTTTGAGTGGAAAATAGTTTGTTTGTTTGTTTTTAAGGCTGAATTGTGTGGTGTTTTTACAACTGACCAAAACACACTTTTCTCTGTGGGATGAGCTTCACTAAATTTAAACCATAAGCCTCAGGACCGAGATCCACTGTGCCACCTACCACTTTCTTAAAATTATCTGAAAACATAATTAAAAACCATTTAATGATATTGTGCAGAATTATCAAATTTTATACATGTGTTTTTAATTCTTAGATAACTAAAAAACACAAGGGCATAAACATCTATTATATACTTGCCTCAAATCTTTGAAATGTTGTCATACGAAATTCTCCTTTAATCCACGAAAGCAGTAATGAAGAAGAAGAATTTTGAATGAAAACACCAAACAAGGGTTTCTTACATATAAGACAAACCTTTGTCTAAGAGGTGCACACACATCATGATACGTATAACTCTTGTTTCTGCTGTTGTGGATACTTTCCTTCCCATGAGCAATCTCAGACTTGGTTGTCCCTAGCATACCCACTGAATAACCCACCCATTTTGGCCACTATATTTTTCTAGTATGATTCTTATCCTCTTTCCTACAAATGTAGATTTCTTTCTCAAATCAGAGATGCTAACTGAAGATAAGCAGCTGATGCCTCACATTTTTGCGCTCTAGACAGATGGAATTCATTCACTAAGGCCAATGGAAATTACAGCATGGATTTAATTGTTCTGCCCAGAAATTCCCCGATCTCCATTGTTTATATCTGGTAAAAGCAAGATAAAAGTGCTACTTTATCATTCATGTCCTTGACAGTAGCAAGAAGAAATTAGATGTGGCTAGTTGTTGGGGTGAGAGAGGCTAGTCTATGTAAGAAGATCTCTGTTTTAACTTCACTGGATCTGTGTTACTAGCCCCACTTGCATTGTAACCTTTCTGCCTACTCTCAAGCTGCCCCCTGCCAAACATTTCCAATGATTTCTCCATGAAAACTGGAACTATAATTTTGCAACATCTTATTACATTTCAAAATTGCTTCCACAGGCCAAAGGTTGAGTAAGTATTGGGTGCTGATTGCTCCCCATTATCACCTGATCTTTCAGCATTTTTTTTATACTGACCTGCAGTTTGCTGCTGTGGAATCTGAGTCTGATGTGGCAGGTTCCTAAAAATAATAATTTAACATCTTTAAAACATCTATATATTATGTACAGTGCACATCTATGAATACAGTCATGGTATTTAAACTGTACACGCATCATTCTTCTATGAGGCAATAACCTACTTTTCCCCAAGTGGATAAACCAAGTGACCAAAAGGCTAAGCAGTTCAACATGAGCAAGGAACTAGATTATTGCTAAAGCATGGTAGTATGATTCTCATTATGTAACCCATGTTCAAATAATAAATTACTAAGTGAAAAATGTAGCACAATAGAAGGAAGGTGAAGCAAGCTGAATTCTAAAAATGTAGACACTTGAAATACAGAAATGTAAAGATAGACCAGTATAACTATAAGGGAAATTTCTTATTTTGGAAGAAAAGAGAAACTACTTTTTGGATTTTTTTTTTGAAGTGGCAATTTGAAGAGGTTTTAAATGTTAGAAGTAGTAGGGCTGTCGATTAATCGCAGTTAACTCATGCAATTAATTCAAAAAATGAATCACAGTTTTAATCACATTATTAAGCAATAGAATACCAAGTAAAATTTATTAAATATTTTGGCTGTTTTTCTACATTTTCAAATATATTGATTTCAATTACAACACAGAATACAAAGTGTAAAGTGCTCACTTTATATTATTAGTTTTGATTACTAATATGTGCACTCTAAAAATGATAAACAAAAGAAATAGTATTTTTCAATTCACCTCATACGAGTGCTGTAGTGCAATCTTATCATCACGAAAGCGCAATTTACAAAGACTTAGATTTTTTTTTGTTACATAACTGCACTCAAAAACAAACCAATGTAAAACTTTAGATCCTACAAGTCCACTCAGTCCTCCTCCTTGATCAGCCAATTGCAAAGACAAACAAATTTGTTTACATTTACGGGAGATATTGTAAATAATAAACAGGCAGCATTGTCATCTGTAAGTGAGAAGGCGGCATTCGTATTTTTGTAGCCGGCATTGTAATGTATTTACATGCCAGATGTGCTAAACATTCATATGCCCCTTCATGCTTCGGCCACCATTCCAGAGCACATGATTCCATGCTGGTGATACTCGTTAAAAAAAATGCATTAATTAAATTTGTGACTGCACTCTTTGGGGGAGAATTGTATGTCTCCTGCTCTGTTTTACCTGCATTCTGCCATATATTTCATGTTATATCAGTCTCGGATGATGACCCAGCACATGTTGTTCATTTAAAGAACACTTTCACTGCAGATTTGACAAAACGCAAAGACGGTACCAATGTGAGATTTCTAAAGATAGCTACAGCATCTGACCCAAGGTTTAAGAATTTGAAGTGCCTTCCAAAATCTGAGAGGGACTAGGTGTGGAACATGCTTTCAAAAGTCTTAAAAGAGCAACACTCTGATGCGGAAACTACAGAACCTGAACCACCAAAAAAGAAAATCAATCTTCTGCTGGTGGCATCTGACTCAGATGATGAAAATGAACATGCGTTGTCCACACTGCTTTGGATTGTCATTGAGCAGAACCCATCATCAGCATGGATGCATGTCCTCTGGCATGGGGGTTGAAGTATGAAGGGACTTATGAATCTTTAGAACATTTGGCACATAAATATCTTGTGACGCTGGCTACAACAGTGCCATATGAATGTCTGTTCTCACTTTTGGGTGACATTGTAAACAAGAAGCGAGCAGAATTATCTCCTGAAAATATAAACAAACAAACTTGTTTCTCTGAGCAACTGGCTGAACAAGAAGCAGGACTGAGTGGACTTGTAGGTGCTAAAGTTTTACATTGTTTTATTTTTGAATGCAGGTTTTTTTTACATAATTCTACATTTGTAAATTCAACTTTCATTATAAAGAGATTGCACTACGGTACTTGCAATAGGGGAATTTAAAAATTATTTCTTTTGTTTTTTACAGTGCAAATATTTATCAAAAATAAATATAAACTGAGTACTGTACACGTTGTATTGTGTGTTGTAATTGGTAGAAAACATCCAAAAACATCTAAATAAATGGTATTCTATTATTGTTTAACAGCGTGATTAATCGTGATTCATTTTTTTAATCACTTGACAGCCCTTGTTAGAAGTAGTCTTAGGAGATGTGGATTAGTGGTCAGAGTGCAGGTGAGGCAATTAAAGCTGCATTTATTTATTTCATTTATAACTAAAAGGAGAAAAAAAGCATTTATCCTTGGCTCCAGTGTAACAAGAAATTTTGCTTTTAGCTGTTTTGAAAAACCTTGAAACACCTTGATAGAAACCGGCAGGAAAAAACCTCAGAGTGGGTTTAAAAACACTGTAAAATTCACTTCTCCCAATTTACATAATTAAGGTGGAGACAGTATCAGGACACTTTGATTTGCATAAAACAGTAATTAGTTCTAAGATTTAGGCTTTAGATAAGTAGAAATTAATATATAAATTTAGAGAGTGGAAAATTCCAGAAGTTTCCAGCAACTCAGGGGAAGGAGCTCTACCCAAGATGGCATTGGGGGAGGAGCTCTGTATCTAAAAATAGGTATGACATAATGGGGAGGAGCTAGAAAAGCTAGAAGCTGATTAGCTGAGATGAGCTGACCTTGAGAGAGCAACTAGTATATAAGGTCAACAGCTAGCAGGCTGAAAATGTGGGGGTTTTGGGGCTTGTGAAGATCAGAAGCCTCAAGCAGCAACCAGAACAACAGCAGCAGCTAAGACAACTGCAGCAGCATCTTAAGAAGATTCCAGAAAACAGTTACCCGGAAAAACAGCAGCAGCATTCTAAAGGTCACCCTGGCAACGACTTTCATAGCAGTGCAATTGGCAGCAACAGCCAGCAGCTGCCACTAAGCCTGCAGCAGCAGCAACCATCATCTCCAGGTGCTGCCACCATCATCTCCAGATACTGACAGAGCAGAAGGGCCCCTGAGACGAGTCAGAGGGAATTAAGAAGATAGAGTGTAAGTCTGATTTTACCAACTCCTGTTAAAGGGTTTTTGGGTATGTCTGTCAATAAAGCTGGATGCCTGTGCTTCTGAATGAGATCTCCCCTGCCATCTTGTGACTGGCTGATCACTGCTCACAGGATGTTAAATATTAAATGACTAGATATTAAATGTTAGATGTTAAATGTTTAGTGTTAAGTAGTAATGTTAGTGTTTAATAAATGTTTTCTTTTTAATCTGTGAATATGATAATGTTTTCTCATGTGTGTATATAGAGGTCGCGTATACTACATTGTATTAAGTACGGTATTAGATTTTAACACTAAGACTAAAGCCTTTTTGTATGCAGGGTCCCTATATGCCTATTACATTTTAAATGCTACATAGACTAAGTCTCCTGTGTATTTTATTTTGTTGCACTGCTTTATTGTATAATTCTTAAATGTAATTCTATTGTGTTTTATTAAGTCCTGTGTATCTTTTCTTGCTTTATTAAACTCTCTTTATTTTTTTTATTTCTGTTAAATAAATAAATCTTTTGTTTTTGAAGAATTTCTACTTGTGTGGGTCAATCCTTGAGCGGAAGGCTGTATCCATGCCCTTTCAGGGGTTAGCTAAACTAGCTTGCTCTGGGGAGCCCTCTGCAGGTCGGAGACAGGCCCCCTGGTAACACCCTGGCAATTCCTTTAGGACGGGCCACAACCTTGTTACCCTTTTGTGGGTAATTGGTGGGCTTGTGCTCAAGGCGCTAAGAGCCCCATGCAAATTTGTAGGTAAAATAATTGGTGTCTAAAATTTAAAACACCAGAGCCCCAGTCATGAAAACACCAATACACATGCTTAACTTTACTCACATGAATAATCCCACTAAAGTCAAAGCAACTATTCATCTGAGTAAAATTAAACACGTGCATAAGCATTTGAAAGACCAAGGTCTAGGTGCATAAAGTTAGGCAGGGAAGTATCCTCTCACGGATAGAGGCAACTCCTTAAAAATGGCTAACACAACATATGGGGCATAAATATACTTTCACCACCCCACTTCAGTTGTTTTCAATTCATTAGATGCTGATATAAATGTACTTAACTAATCAGTTCTAATTTCTGATTATACTAGTTAGAAAAGCAAATGGAATGATACAGATAGTGCTTATCAAAATATGGAACTAAATATGTTTTAATTTAACAACTTGCTACTTTATGTGCAGAAGAAGCTGCCCTTCAAAATACAAGAAAGGCCACATAAGCCTGGACAAACTATGCAAAGCCTAATTGGTCTGTTAATTGAGGTCTATTGTAAGCAGCCACATTTTGTGCCAGGTAAGGAAGAAGTGAGAACACTCTGTTTGTCAGCAGAAGCTATGGTATGTCTAGCATAGGACATGCCATATATATTTGTCATTAATATTTTCAGTATACTAAATCAAATCCACACAATTTCTGCATGCCTAATTGTAAAACTACAAGACAAAAACTTAGGTGCAGAAACCATCTTACATATAAAATACAGTATCTTAAAAGTTTTTTTTAACAGATGAGCTGTTTTCTGACTGACTATATCAAAAAGCAAATAGGGATACAGTTTTCCAATAATGGTAGAATAATTTCACTGCACAAAATCCAACAGTCACTATAAACATTTCCATCAGTCACTTAGTATAATGGGAACAAACTGTTTTGGTACTAGAGTATTGTGAAAGTATCAATGCTTCCTGCTTTAAAAATAAACACTGAGGCAAAGCCTTGGTATCTCTTTAGCATTCATCTATCAGCAGGAGCCCATTATGCTGTGACAACATTGTATTCCTGACATAGTCTCTTCTAGAAAATATGTTGTGTCCTTTCTTGAAGGAACTTCCCCTCAGTGTAGTAAAAAGTAAAACAACATTCTCAGTGTAACTACCAAGAATGTACATATTCAATTGATATTTATCATATACAATATTAAGTTTTATGGGAAAACCACAGCAACCTTCACTCAGAAATATAGGACAGCATGACAATGTTACAATCTCCATCTTTTCTACATTCTTTACTTGTATCCAATTTTATAAATACATTTCAGATGTAAATTAAATTTTTA